GTTTATTTCTTTGGTTTATTTCTGATATTTGATTGTTTATTATCCAAGAAGTTATGCCTTTTCTTCGTATTATACCAAAGATAAAGTTATTTTACAACACAGGAACTGGTGTTTACTTGCTGTACTCTAGTTACGATTGTTATTATTTTTAGTGTAAGATCCTAACTATATTAAAAAATATATATTTTTGTATGAAAAGTTAAACTACTTTAATCACTTTCGTAGTTTAAATTCTAGTTTTCCTGGAACCCCATTCACATTGTAAAATCAAGTAAACGATTGCAACATTTTTGTATACCCTTAAACTTGATTTATTTTATTAGGTGCTATAAACCTAATTAGGTAAATTTATGAGTTCATAATTGCATGTGAGACCCTTATCAATTATGACCCAAAATTTCAGTTTAGTTTTTTTTACATTTACGTTTTACACTTTATATTCGCTCTTTCACTATGTTTTTTACATAAAGTTTATTTTTTCCGGTTTTCTTCTTTTTCGGGCCTATTTGGTTTAATTCAAATGAACTCCATAGTTTTTTTTTCGATTTTGTAACTTTAAAGCAATTTGTTTTATTTCATGGCAAATTTGTTTTAGATTAGTTTACAAACACAATACAGTTTTTAAAATCACAAGCCATAAATCCCATTAAAAAGCTTTTAGTAATTTTGTTAGGTTTTTATAAGGACCTTATGTTATAATCAGCTTCTTAAATTTGCTATTCTTTTTCCAAATCATGATATTAGATCAACTAATTTAACAATTACATTGTATAACGAAATTAGGTAACTGAACATTTATAAGCCTTGAGTTAGTCGTATTTGTTGTAATATATTTTAAAGATTAGATTATGTTTTTTATAACAATGAGATTATATTGACATTGATCCTCTGAACCTTTATGTATTTAAAATGTTTTCGTAAATAGTTAACTTTAAGTTTAAATCTTTTTAGCAAGATTCTTCAGTAGACCAGGTAAAAAAAACAATGCATATAAGGTCTAACAATGGACTACTCAGAACTAACTCGAGCAAATTTTCTTGGGTTCCTCTTTCGCACTGTGTTTATTCTGGCTTTCTTGGGATTGGGATTATCCCGCCCCTCAGTTGCGATCGCACCTTTTGCAACTCCGTTGTTATAATGCCCAAACTGGTTGCTGAGGGCTCAATTTGTTTTGATTTGCTTTCAGCAATCACGCACAATAACAAAAACACAGATATTCGCTACACTTGGCTGTGAATTGAGACGGATCCCTAGGACAGAACCGAGTTTAGAGACTGCTGACCAACCGACGAAACCCAGCGATCGCGGCGTCCGTTCGCTTGGGCAGGTAGCAAACGTCTGAGCCGTGGTTTTGGCCATGTTTCTCAGCCAGCTCTGGCCGCTGCTCTTGCTCGGCACATCCGCTCTTCCAACAGCCGAGCCACAAAGGTGAGGCACAGAGCCCCGGTTTGTGTAAATGTGCTAACCACTTTGACCAAAAAGGTAACAACGAAATGTCAGTGGTTGTCTCAGCCACTCTCTTAGCCATCGCCATCTCGGCTCGGCTCTGCGTCAGCGGCAGTGACGGGTATTTGAACTTTGTTTAGCCTTAATGACTGACTGACGGACGACGGTGGATACGGCTGTGGCTATAATGATGGCGACGGCGACGGCGACTTTGACTACCTCTGCCGACTGCCGTGTGTTCTTGAGCTTCTGGCCAAGTGCGGATGTGTGTGGCTACGTGCCTGGCATCGGCAGTTAATGCTAGATACTCCTATCCACTTATGCACTGCGATCTGAGATCTTGATTTATAATTCTTTTAACCGTGCCTAAATCTTGAAGCCCGAAATTAAATTTCCTAATATAATGTATCCTAAAATAGTATTTAACAAATACAAATGATGATCATATCAAATTTGTACTAAGTATTGCATTACTTATATTTTGTTTTACAGTTTATATTAGTTCTCTATTTAAAAATACTTTTGAAGTTATCAAATTTAACATTTATGTTGTCACTTCTTCATAGAATGGTTTTAGTAAAGGTTTAATAATATAAAAATCACATTTTCCATTTTGGAATCTCTTTATACATCATCTTGGGTCGTCTACGAAAATTAAAAGTATTTAAAGTTACTAATTTGGAAATACTTTTTAAGGCTTTTGAGCACGTTAAATGTTAAATTTATCGATGAGGTTTATTGGAAAGTATATAAACCCCTAGATTTATCGATGAGGTTTATTGGAAAGTATATAAACCCCAACCTTGAATCTCAAATTGCTGTTTTATTATTATAATTTTCCGTCTGATCAATATATTGAGGATTCTGGTTTGATGTAAGACAACTTTTCCCGCAGTGCCTCTGCTGCTGACCCCTCATTATGGCCATCGGAAGATGGTCAGGTTCTAGCGGACAGCAGTGGCATTGATTGCGCTAAGCCTCAACATTGATTCCAATTGATTTATCCGTCTCCCCCACTCTTCCCTTGCAGAAAGCTGACCCACAGGAACCGGCAGCGCGATTCAGAACTGACGGAGACCTCAACGGAAAGTAAAACGCTGCGCCAGCAGATTGTGGCACTCAAAGCCAGCCGCGATGAGGCAATAGCAGAGAATCGGTGAGCAAAAAAGTCATTAGCGAGGCGAAGATATCGTAGAACTGCTTCCGCGCTGGGGCCAATCTTATTTTCCTCGATCATTAGGCGGTTTTTTCGCATAATTTTCATATGTGCACACATTATTTGCTGCCCCACAGCCGGTTAATGGACAAATTGAGCGATGCCCTAGTGGAGGCCAGGACGTTGCAAAACAAGTTGACGGACTCCGAGAAGCAGGTGGCCAACATGAAGCAGCAGCTGCACAAGTACGTCCAGGAGGTGAAGAAGGCCGAGGACCTGCTTACCCAGAAGGTTAGTATATCCACAAAACTAGAGCCTAAGTCCCAGTACTCGAGTTGGCATACAGGTGTCGTCTAAATTAAAGGAAAAGGAGCGCGACGAGATGCTGGATCAATATCACTGCCTAACCCAGGACCAAGCAACGCTGGAGGGGAACAATCAGAGTCTGGAGTGCGAGGTTATCGAATTCAGGTGAGTCCCAAATCGAAATAAAATAAAAGTATATTAAAAGATCAAACCCAAAAATGGTAGAACTTACGCCATTTCAATTCTACGAAGTTAGGTTCCTGAATAAGTTAGGCTAAAGGCAGCTGCCATATTAATATCTGTCAACAATAAACATTAAGATTTTGTTGATAGGTGAACCGTTAACAAAAGCCGCAAAACTTAAAACCATTAAATTATTTAAAAGTTGTTTATTTCATAAAAGAACATAACATGTCTTTAGACGTTTTTAAACGACGAAATTAAAAGCAGATGGGAGAATCCATAGTAAACAAAGTAATTCATACACCTTTTTCTCTGTCCTAACAAATAAATGTAGCTTAATATTTTAGGTCAAAACTCTACGTTTGAATTTACAATTTACTTTTATTGAGCTTTTTCAAAGCAATAACATTTTATTTGACAATTTTTTTAAATCGAAGCTTTAACAATTATTTGAGAAATACAAAAGGCTCTTCCAGCAATATTCCAAAAGATTTTTAATGAAATGTGTACACATTTCCGTATTGAAAAAATAAACCATTGAGAAGTTTATAGACCCTAAATTCTCTTCAATGCATGTACAAGTTTTAAAAAACGACAGTGGAGTTTTATAAATCCAGTTCAACCGAATTTCTGCTGATATTTCATTAATGTGTAATACTTCCTTATATAGTGGATAACCCTCGCAGCTAGTCCTATACTCTTTTGTAAACACCTCTAACATCATAAAGTAAACATAATTTATAAATTTTTTCGCGCAGGCAAAAGATCTGTGAATTGGAGTGCCAGGTGCGCAGCCTGAAGGATCAGCTGCATTGTCGCCAGTGCACCCTTGATGAAATGGATGTGCAATTGACCGCCGCCAAGGCCTCGGTGAGATGTCTGGAAAGGGAGCTGGAGAATGCCCGCGATGATATCCGCGTCCAGAAGGTGGATCTCGAGGCTCGCAAGGAGCTGTGCGACAAACTCGACGTGGAGAAGGGAAAGCTCAATGCGGAGCTGAACGAGGTCAACGAAATCCGCAAAAAGGTGAGCTTCAGCTCTGGTCCCGACCAGTATCAGTACCTCTACCCTAGCTAGAACACTCCGCTGTAGTCTACTTCGCTTTCTAACTATGCTCTGACTAACTAGTCGTGTAGGTAATTCAAAAGTGCTTGTGAGTAGTTTAGATCTGTTTTCTGCTTATTTGTATTATATTAATCATAATTTTTAGCTTGAAAAACAATGCGAAAAACTGCGCGATGAGCTGCAGCAGAGTTCGGCTCTCAATAAGGTCACCACCGAAACCACAGATCTGATGCTGGGGCGCTTGCATAACGATCAGCAACGGCAGGATGATGATGATATCAGGGCCAAAAACGAAATGGACCGACTGCAAAGGCAACTTCAACAAACTTCGGTGAGCATTGCTTATGAGGGGTAACCACTTTTCTTTTGTCTGTCTGGGAAACTGCCAATCTTAATAGAGTAAACTTTAAACAAAAAGCTCAACACCTAACAAAGCAATCATAATCTAAATAAAATTTTAAATACAAAGCAATCATAATATAAAAAAACTTTAAATACAATTACATTGGCTGGTTATAAAAACTAAATACAATCCATATATTTTATTATATATTATTTATCTACCCGAAACAGAGTCAGTTGCAGGAGGAACGTGCCCGCTGCAGGCACCAGGAGGAGTTGGCCAACCAATATGAGCATCAGGTCAGCGAGCTGCGCCGAAATCTGGTGGAGGATCGCTACAACCAAGCTAGAACCCGCGAGGTTAGCCCCCGGGTGCCATCGAAGACTCTGTAACTCTGTGTTTGTCAAAACTATTTGCTTGTTTTATCATGTTAACTCAAATTTAATGTTCGGCTGGGATATCGAAATTGTAAAAATATAAGAATGATTGTCAAAACTGAATAAAAACTTGATGCAACTTTCACTGAATGAAGCGTCCGTCTTGACACATGGCGGCCAGATTCATATAGGTCTGGTACATGCAGGGGCAGGCATCGTATGGCGGCACCCGCCTATAGTTGCTCTGGGGATCCCCCTCCTCGCAGCTGGCGAAGTCATCATCGTAGGTGGACTCCAGGCAGGTGTGCTCCCCAGAACTGCTGGATCCTGGAAAAAATATATAAAACACAAAATATGTAAATATCCATATTATATGCTTGTGGAAACTAACTATCCATGTCTGTCATAAGGAGTTTTAATTGAATAATGAATTTACTTACTGCCAGTGTAGTTATCATCAGTGTTATCCTTATCAGCGTCCTGCTCTACCATGTGGTATTTAACGGCGCGCTCCCAATCGATAAGACTGCGACAGGTTTCCTTCATATGTTCCTCTTTGGTCAGATCCCCACTATCGTCTTCAAAAGTGACTGTTCGAGTGCGTTTTTCACAGACGGTCTCCAAAAGTGGAACTGGCCCATCTTTAACGGGAGAAGATCGTCTTGGCGATGACATGCACGACCTCGGGGAATGTTGATTATAAACCTGAACAGGGTTTTTAAACTGCTTTCCGTTATATCTGTCGTATTCAAAATCAATCTGATCGGGAAAACTTGAATATTCGGTACGGGATTCCCTGGCAATGCGGTCATTATTGAAAGTTTGATAATGGTCCACGTTTCTACGCATATCTTGAATTTGCTCAAGGGTTTTGTAAGTTTCCTGACACTCAGAACACTGGTAATCGGATTGGCTGTGATCCAAATAGGAGTGAGAACTTGAAGACTGGTCGTTAGGTCGATAGTTTCTGTTTGGACTCTGACTTCTTGGATGGGCTTCAGCTGGCGATATCTGACTATTGTATTCTTTCCAAGGCTTTTGACTGACTGGTCCAAAAGAGTCTTTTGGATTTCTGGGACTGTGCTGCCTAAAATGGGGATTTTGAGGATGGCTTGGAATAGTCTGTTTGTAGCTGACATGGGATGAATTATCATGAGATTTCTGTGTTTCCCTTGGTATCCTATAGGAAGGCTGTCTTAGATCATCTTGCCTGCAATCCAATGCCTCGTAATTACTTTTATCATAGACATGACCATAATCTGATCTATACCTAGGAGAATTTTCCGGTGGTTCGAATTTCTTAGAAGTATGTTGCTTCATATGATTGGAATTTACGAATCTGTCGTGAAGACTATAATCGTTAATTTCGTTATCGTTATAATTATTTCGGATATGCTGATTTGGATTTTTAACTATAGTTTCAGCACTTTCACATTGCGAGGAAACCATAAGGTCTGATGAAGAATTTTGAATTCGAGATGGATTTGGTGGAGTTGGATTAACTTGTTTCCGATGATGTTGCTCTGAAGCCTTTTCGATTCTGGGCTGCATCTTTGTTTGCATTGGTCTTTGCTCATGACAGGGAAACTTTTCTTGCATCTTCCTCGCTTCTCTTTGGACTTGCATCTCTGGAAGACATTTTTGATATTGAGGAGCAAAAGAGGCATAACTAGTGTTTTCTATGTTTTGGGCAGAAGGTGATCGCTGAAAGCTGTGGCTTCTCTTTTCCTTCGGAATTGCCTGAATCAATACTCTCTCCTTGGAGAACTCCCGCATTTCCTGCTTTATTACCGTTGAATCTTTATCCTTACACCTATAGGAATTCGATTGCTGGGAATGCATGCGACTAACTTTTGGGGCACTCCCAGTCTTATGCTGGTTTCTGTCATCGTGGGACATAGGTATATTGATGTAGTTCCAGGAGGCAACAGGCCTTGCGTCGTCTAAGTACCTGTTATCAGCTTGCTGTTTCAGATTTCCCGGAGAACTGTAGCCTTCTTCATCACATCGACCATGACTATGGGCTGGACGTCTCTCCTTATAAGAATGAACAGGACCACTTTCTGGAGACGAGCTAGGGGATCCCACATCCGTCAATTGGTGGTGAGCAGTTCTTTCAACATGACTATCCTGGTTATGATCACCAGTGTTCAGTGTTCCTTCGAATACATCACAGCAACAGTAATCCTGAGTTGATATTATGCGTTCATCAGTACTACTTTGACCTTGAAGTGTATTCTGACCAGCATCACAACAGCAGGGATCTTCCTTGGATTCTTGAACTTCTTGATCTTCCTTTGAATTCCCGTTTCCCATTACCTGATCCTTAATCCTATCCGAATCGGACAAAGGAGGTGAGTCCGCAGGTTGTTTTATAGTTGGCTTTTGGTCCACATCCGTCTTGACCTCATCTTTAACTGGCATCCTTGTGTATGTGGGAATCGACTGCAGAGCAGCGCGTCCTTCGAGCTCACTCCTGGAATTCTCCTGTTTATACAGATTCAAATAATCGTGGTACATGCGGACCTTCGATTCATCCGGTTTTTCCTCGCTGCAAAGCTTTGAAGGATCAGCATCACTGATAACAGCCTTCGAAGTCACAACATCGCTGACTGTCACATTCTCAGATTTTACTTTCGGTATTCCTTTGTTACCATCCTCTGAAGACTCCTGCTCTTTCTTCAGGGTAAGGGGCTTTTCAGAACTCTTCGTCTTGTTTTGGGCTAATGATGCTGAGGTAGTCTCAGTCTTGATGAGACCTTCCGGTTTCTTGTTCGTTGTACACTTTGCACTCCTAGCCAACGGCTTTCTCTCTGGAGACTTGGCACGGGTTGAGCAATCCTTTCGAACCTTTGGTGATGATGCGCGATCCGTCGTTAGTTTAGGGCACAAATTCTGGCAAAGTTCCTGGGTATTCAGATCGGTGACCACTCTCCCGAAAGTTTGACGAGGACAGATGTTATAAGGTATCCCAAACTGGTTACCCTGATTGGGTAAAATCTCTCCATTAAACGTATTGCAAGCGCAGAACTCTTGAGGGTATCCCATTTTGTAACTGCAGGAGCAATGACAATGGCAGGTACAATTTCCATAGGTGTTCTGGTAGATTGTCCGATCGCAGTTTCTATAACAATAAGAGCACCCTCCACTGACTCTTAGGGGAAGTTCCGGAGATTCAATTGCCGGCGAATTCTTGACTTCAATAGTGCGACATTTGTGCAACCTTCCTTTCGCTCGAGGACTAGAAGTAGGACTTCTTTTGGCGGCCAGGGGACTGACTTTGGCTTGATTCGCCTCCAAGCTCTGCCCCCAGGTCATGTTCTTCCCCATCTCCGGAGTCCTAGATCTGCTCCCTGTGTCTATGCCTTTAAGGAAATGCCTGCGAAAGTCTTTCAACTTGTCTATCTCATGTTCGATCTTCCGGTACAGCCTATCAACCTGCTCTCGGGTTCGCTGGATTTTCTCAACACCCAGCGAGGAGGATGATCGCTCTACTTCCGCCTCTTTGGTGGTGTAACTGGACACACCAACCGATGGATGACGGAAGAGTTCCCTCACCTTCTTCTGGGTGTTCTTTATGTAAATCCTTTGGCGTCCCTCGATCGAGACGCGCTCCTCTCGTTCCAGTACAAAGCTGCGACCTGTGAGAAGTTTATGTCATGGTTTTTCCGACAACTTTTCAATGGTTTGCCTACCTTTTCGGTTTTTATTATCCATAGACTCCTTTTTAGCGGGTTAGTTATCCATAAACTCATAGAAAATATATTCGTTATTCTCTCAACGGTAGTTTCATTTGATGTTTATGGCTCAGCTCTTCGATTTCTAACAAGTTGTTTGGATTTATACTTGGACCTCCCTTTAAACTTATTTTTGTGCCATAATTCCTGTTATCAATTTCTTAGCCACCAAACATTTTAACAACTACCAGACAAAATCAGAGTTCCGACCACCCATAAGTCATTGAAACACTTGTTGCTTAGATTATTATTTTATGCACAATATACATACACTAATAATTTCATTTTATTTCTTAAAATTGACATGGATAATGCCCGGGATTTGGTACGCGTTGACTTTAATGGGATTCGTGTATTGCAAATAAAGGTGTAAAAATACAAATTATAACGTTCAACAACTCCTAATTAACTACATTAAACCTAAGTATTACAGTGCTTCAACAGTTTTTTAGGCGTATCTTCAAAAGAAAAAATATAAATACTATTACAGGCCAAGATCAATGGGATTGGATCGGCAACTGGAACTCGATCTGGGTTTGGTGGGGGCTTCCTAAACTATCCTAATCCTTCGATGTGGCATATGGCTCTGATCCGCTGGCACCGAAAGAGCTGCTGGACAGGGGAGTGCTGACATCGCGACTCTCGCCATTGAGCAAGTACACCGGCACGTTGATGGTCACCAGTTCGAGATTGTGGGACGGCGAGAGCATCGCAGTGCTGTCCTCGTCCTCCGCCGCAAGAATGGGGGCTGCGATCTCCAATTCGTTGCCCACCTCGGGCACCATATCCTGGTCAAACTCGTAGGCAGGTTCTGGAATTGGTTCGGCAATGGCGGGTGGCTCTTCATCGGGAGCTGGCTCGGGTTGTATAGGAGAGGTTTCGAGTACACGATCTGCTTCAAACTCTATTGGGCAAGTCATAAGCCACAGCTTCTTCCTCTTATTCTTCATGTGCGTCCAACGAGGGCACTTGAAACGACGCCTTCGCTTGCGTTTTTTGTATTTCAGTGGTGGCTCGATTTCCTCCCTAACCTGCTGGTGATCTAGTGACTTCCGTTCAACTGCCTCCTCATGTGATTGCTCATTCAAAAGCTGTTGATTATGCTGATCATTATGCTGATTTTCTTCAGCTTGGTCTTGATCTTCTAAAAGACTTTGCTCTTCCTCCGCCTCGGGTTCAACTTCTGTTTGTTGTTGCCCCTCCTCTGTGAGTTGTTCGTTCTCGGTCTGATCTGATTCTTCATCTGCGTGGTCATCACCTTCTTCCAGAGGTTGCAGTTCCTCTGCCCCCGGCTCATCGTCAACCTGCTGCTCCTCTTTTTCCTGCTGTCGCTGGAGCATCTCCAGTTGATGTTGCTCTTGTAGCAACTGCTCCTCAAGAAATTCTTGATGCTCCAGATCATGCTCTCCTTCCTTCCCGTTTGGCTCATCAGGGTCGTTTATATCGTTATTCTCATCCATTTGGTTTTGAGGCTCCAGATGACTTTTTTCATCAAACTCACTGCTGTTTTGAGGATCATCTCGTCGCTCTTCTAAAGGCGCCCCCATCTCCTTTAGAGGTGGCTCTTCCTCCCTCACTATATCCCCTTGGTCATTAGGCGCTTCATTCGCTCTTTGTGACCGTACCAGGCTCCTGAGATTAAAACGTTTCAGTCTTATTAATGGCAATCTATGCGGCGCAGATTTCCGAATGATAGTCAGGTCCTGTTCCAGTTGCTGTACCTCATTTCTCCGCTTGGCGTTTAAGGCGCGTAGCTGGCGGCATCGCTTTGTGGCCTGCTTGAGCAGTTTAAGCTGATCGGGATCCTTCTGCACCTGGTGGTTTACTTTTCCAGGGTTTTTCTTTTGGTTATTCAACCGACGTCGGCGGATATTCTCTCGCTGCACTTTAAGCAAGTGGTTATAGTAGCTCACTTCATCACCAGAAGCCTTGGAGAAACAGCGTCGACCAAAATCCCACTCGGAGTTGGAGTTCTGATTGTCAGTGGATGCAATTTGTACCTGGCAGGGACTGCTCGAACTGTGCGTAGAGGCTGGCGGCGTGGGTAAGGCCACTCTCTGCCCTCGGGGCTTGTTCCGGATGCGAGTGGGCGTGGCCGAGATCTTAGTGGGAGTGCTACTGGATGCATTGCTGGTGGTGGGCGTTAGCTGGCTAGCAGCGACATTTAGGACTTCATTCCTGGCCTTCATCCTGGCGTCGAGCTTTGCGAACATTTTCGCACTGGCCTCGAGGTGCTCTGCAAGGACACAACGGGCTTTAGCATAGGTTAAAATATGTGTTAATTCCTTCTTACCGGCTTTCCAGCTACCATTCCCCATGCCATTGGACTTGTACTGCTTGATGGAGGGCTTTTTGGACGCGCTGACCTTGGCATTTGGCGCAGTTGCGCCCAAATGCCGGGGACTGAAGGTAACCTGTTTCTTTAGCAGCGAGGATTCGCTACAGTTGCTGTTCTGACTAGAAGTTTGACGGCAGTGGTACAGTGGGGTTCGTTGTCCGCTGGCTTCGCTGGCACTGCTTCTCCGCGGAAAGAAGCTTTGGCTGTGGGCGCTTGAGTACTGGTCCTCCTCCATCACCAGGTCTGCATCCTCGTCCTCCAACGTTTGCACGCACTGATCGACCAGATGGGGAGCTGTGGTCGACACCAGATGAAGGCTATCCCGGCGACAACTGTAGCTGTTCACGATGCGCGGCACTGTGTAGGTGGTGGGTGGCAGCACAGCCCTTTCGTAGGTTCGGAGGTTGCTGGGATAGATGCGAGTGACGGGCACGGAGTCATCCTCGGCGAGGATCGTTGTCGACGTCTGATTCGCCGAGTCGTTTGAGTTGGAGTTTGAGATTATGCCATCGACATTGGCAGGCACATTGAAGTTCACTGAAAACATCTCCACGTCGTCGTCCGAGTCGCGCAGCTCAACGATTTCGATGGAGTTGTCAATGCCGCTGAAGAGAGCATTGGCCCGCTTGCACGGCTCTAACTGGCGGGCATTCTGGCAGAGATTCTGGAGGAAAACGGGCGGATGATTGTTTAGTGATGATGTTGGTGTACCCGATATGTCCCACATAGGGCAACTGCCCTCATCATCATCGGAGCTGAGTATCTGTGGGGGAAGATTGAAAGTTTGTAAAATAGTTCATAATCAAATTCCATATGGATAATGATTCTGAGAAACTCAGTTAAGGTTGTAGTCATTTTGGGTCAGCAAAATGGAGCCGGCCACTGCCTAATACGCGACTAACTGCGCCGGCAGCGGCTTTTGCCCCACTTGCTCGTCCGAATCAGACCTTTTACTAAGACATCATAGTAAGGCACATCAGAGCAACACGGCGAAGGAAGCTTACTTATTTTTAAGTTTTATAGATCAGATAACTAGACTCTTACTCGCCGTGTTGCTAACTTGGGGTGGTACATATAAGACTGTCTCCATTTAAATTATACTACCAAACTAACCACTTCGCTGGACTGCACCGGTCGATTGTCCACTTTGCTGAGCATATGCAAACCGAAGCAGCGGCTTGTCTTTAGATGGTTCAATATAGTTCTCGTGGCCGTATTCCGGTCCGCAAACTTGGGCAAGTAGTGGGCATAGACACTTCTTGTGGCTAGGGATCTTGAGGGTCTCATGAACTTTTCAGCAAACTCCACAATGCGCTCCTTGACCGACTCATCGGACTCCAGGCGCTGCCAGTAGTAGAATATGAGTATGTATTCGATGTAGAGTTTGTCTGGCAGTTCGGCTTGGATCATTATGCTGGGCATCGACCAGTGCGGGAAGAGACGGCTGCGGAGAGTAAGGAAAAACATTGTTTTAAAAGTGTTATACAAGTTATTCAAGTACGAAAAAATATCCCTAAGAACACGAGTTAAAAAGAGGTTTAAAAATCTATTTAAATCATAATTGCAATCTGTTAAAGCATTTTGAAAGAAACTTGGAGAACGAACCTAATAAAAAATACATGGTATAAGCATTTAACACCGAGTCAAAACATACCTAATTTAATTGACTGTCATAAATTAACAAAAAAGAGATCTAGCCGAACTCGTGAATCATTTGAAGCTGAGATGACACACAAGCTTAAATTAACCGAGTAAATAGTGGCGATATGTTGCCTTTAATATGCAACCCACTTAGGTGGAACAATCTCTACCTGTAAAGCGTGGACAAAATGCTGGCTCTGTTGAAGAGTTTGGGAGCAGCAAGGAGAGTGCGCAGCACGTGCTCCCGGTGGACGCCGGCGCCACCTCCTCCAAACTCAACGTAGAGCTTCAGGCAGCAATTGATCCGGTTGATAATGGTCTCCTCACTCTCCACCGGCTCCTGGGCGGAGCAGAGTTCGCAGGATATGTAGAAGCCGACGATGTGGCACATGCGTTGCCTGTATACCTCGTCCTGCTGCAGGGCTCGACCCCGCACCATTGTGTGGATGACATCGGTTAGGCCGATCAAAATCCGCGCCAGTTTTCGGCACTTCCATGGCAAGTACTGGGCCCGCTCGAACTCCTCCCGAATGGCACTGCAAGATTATATTATTATTCTCGAGTACCTGGCTCTATCTCTATCTGTACTCACCCCTCGTACTGCATGAGCAGGCGGGCCATGCACTTATCGAAGCTATCATCATTCAGGGCCGCGATGGCATCGTGAATCTTGCGCCGCGTCTCATTTAGGTGGCCAAAATCCGGCTCCGTCTGCGCATTCCGTTCGTTGTTATCCGGCTCTTTCTCTGCATCCGGTTCCGGCGACTCGCACTCCGTATCATCGACGTTCGCCAGAGTGCTGACCTTGTCGAATTCGTCCAGCGTGCTGCCGCTGTTCCGCTTCCGGTTCCTGACCAAACAGCTCATGGTGCTAAAATAAGGTAAAATAAAACCATTTCGGCGACCGAAATAGTATGCAAATTATCACTCAAACAGTGCCGAAACAACTCGTTAATGCAGTGAAAGTCGCAGGGGCGCTCCGTCGTCCCCGAAGAAAAGGCCAAAAATGAAAGACATACCAAAAATGTGTATTTCTGCCGAGGAGATCGCTCTACATGGGGAATTTCGATGGGCCGCGGCAAGTCACTAACGCACTGCACACCTGAGCGGGTCCAAACATATTACTTTTGTAATATGTGCACTGTTTATATATATTTTTTGTATTTCGAGCAGGAGCAGTACCGATTAAGA